GACGGACAGAATCGAACGAAATTTTGACAGAGTATTGCCCATAATAGGGTGAAAAAAATTCGGATTCGACAAGGGGGCGTGGCACCTCCCATAGGCGTGAAATTTTTAATCAGCCATAACTTCGGATCCATAAGTCACATGAACTTGAAATTTGGTATGCAGTCATATATATGGTAGGCGCTTATAGGAAGGTATATATAAATGAGTTTGTAAAAGTGGGCGTGGCACATCATAGGCGTGGAATATTTTATCAGCTATAACTCCGGAACTGTAAGTCATACGAACCTGAAATTTGGTATGCAGATATAATTATATTAGGTGCTTATAGTAAGGTATATATAAATGGGTTTGTAAAAGGGGACGTGGCACATCCAATTGGCGTGATATATTTTATCAACTATAACTTCGGAACTATAAGTCATATGAACTTGAAATTTGGTATGCGGTCATATATTATATATGTGAGGTACTTATAGTATGGTATATATAAATGAGTTTGTAAAAGTGGGCGTGGCACATCCAATAGGCGTGGAATATTTTATCAGCTATAACTCCGGAACCATAAGTCATGTGAACCTGAAATTTGGCAGGCAGTCATATATATGGTAGTTGCTTATAGTAGAGTATATATAAATGAGTTTGTAAAAGTGGGCGTGGCATATCCCATAGTCGTGGAATATTTTATAAGCTATAACTCCCGAACTATAAGTCACATGAACTTGAAATTTGGTATGCAGTCATATATATGGTAGGTGCTTATAGTAAGGTATATTTAATTGAGTTTAGAAGAGAGGGCGTGGCACATCCAATAGGCGGGAAATATTTTATCAACCATAACTTCGGAAACATATGTCACATGAACTTGAAATATGGTATGCAGACATAACTATGGTAGGTGCTTATAGTAAGGTATATATAAATGGGTTTGTAAAAGGTGGCGTGGCACATCCCATAATTTCAAAACCATAAGTTGAAATTAGGTATGCAGGCATATCTATGGTAGGCGCTTAAAGTAAGGCATATATAAATGAGGTTGTAAAAGGAGGCGTGGCACATTCAATAGGGGTGGAAAATTGTATCAGCTATAATTTCAAACCCATAAGTTGAAATTAGGTATGCAGACATATCTACGGTAGGTGCTTACAGTATGCTATATATACATGACTTTGTAAAAAGGGGCGTGGCACATCCCATAGGAGTGGACCTTTTATCAACTATATCTTGGGAACCATATGTCACGTGAAATTGAAATTTGGTACGCAGACGTATCTATAGTAGGTGCTTATAGTAGGGTATATATAAGTGAGTTTGTAAAAGAGGCGTGGCACGTCCCATTGACCTGGAATGTTTTATCAGCTATAACTCCGAAACTATAAATCGCATGAACTTGAAATTTGATATGCAGACGCATTTCTGGTAGGTGCTTATAGTAAGGTATATATAAATGGGTTTGTAAAAGGGGGCGTGGAACATCCCATAGGCGTGGAAAATTTTATCAGCTATAGTTTCAAAACCACAAGTCACATGAAATTGAAATTTGGTACGCAAACGTATCTATGGTGGGTGCTTATAGAAGGGTATATATATATATATAAGTTTGTATAACCGGGCGTGGCACCTTCCATGGGCATGGAAATTTGTATCACCTATGACCATTAGTCACATGAACTTGAAATTTGGTGTACATATATATCTATGGTAGTTGCTTATAGTAGGCTACATATTAATGAGTTTATAAAAGGGGGGCGTGACACACCCCATTGGCGCGGAGCTATAACTTCCGAACCATAAGTCCCAAGAACTTGAAATTTGGTAAGCAGGCATATCTATGGTAGGCGCTTATAGTAAGGCATATACAAATGAGTTTGTAAAAGGGGGCGTGGAGCATAGGCGTGGAGTTTTTAATCAGCTATAAATTTGGAACCATAGTCACATGAACTTGGAATTTGATATGTAGACATATGTATGTATATATTGGAGGCGTTTAGATTAAAGTATATAAAGATGGGTTTGTAAAAGGGGGATAAATATGTATTCGTCTATTATATCGCTTGGATATTTAAAACTGTGTTTTTTTTAAGCCTTACAGTCTTTAGACCACTTTGAAATGGAAATATTAAGTCGTTTTTTTTTTGATCCCGCGATGCTGTTAAACGAAAAATGTTCATTCGTTATGAGTAAAACTTTTTCCGAAATAAACATTCTACCGGAAAAGTGCAGCTGTACCAAAACAGTTAAGCGAACAGGCAGCTAAACGGAATGTACCGTAGTAGACTAATTTTAATTTAAAAACTCTATCGTTACCTTAATCCACCTAATATTAATAATGAAACAAGATTTGTAGAAAATTATGTCAAATATATAGTAGTGTGAGCACGATAAAGCTAAAAGTATGGTTCATAAGGATGTCTTAATTTAAACAGAAAGAAAATAGTTTGTCTCCTTTAATTTATGCTGAACTGAATATTTTTACTACTATTTTATATTTAGATTTTTTTACCCCGAACGACGTCGGGTGCTCTGCTAGTTTTATATATAAAAATTGAGTATAGTGAACCCCTGGATCACCCCCCCCTAAATACGGCCTTGTAGATAGATATAGATTAACCTGATTCTTAATTCAATTATAATACGCGTATTTTCTATTTGGTTCTAACTGGCAAAGAAATAAAAAGTTTTTTTTTACTATTTTCTGGTATGAAGAATTTTATTTTTTAAGCCAAGTTATAACCGTTTTTATTAAGTATGTACATATATTTAATTTTTGATATAGATATCGCTAATTTACTTCAATAGTGTCATAGCTCAAAAACCCAACCCTTACTACATATTTAGTCTGTTCCTTTGAACTTCGGACTAAATCCTGTGGAGCTGTCAAACTACAATTTTACTCTCTCAAGTGAGAGTAAAAGGAGAACAGATGCAGAAATGCACGGGAATGCAAAAAGCACTATTTCCTGTAAAAACGTCAGTCGGTTTGTTTACATGTCACTTGTAGGGATACGAATTTCGATACGATACGATACCATATCGATACTTTTAGCATTCGATACCGATATTTTTACTCGATAGTTTTAAAACGATCTTTTTTGGAAACGAGTACCAGAACCCTAGTACCGTATCGAATGGCATAAACTCACATTACAAGGATAATGTTATTAACAATTCTTCCCGATATAAATTGGACTTTAAAGAGCAGAAATTTGTAATATAGTTAGGATTGCATGTGGTGGAATTTGAACCCGCGGCCTCGGTGTTTTAAGTCAACACCTCAATCTCTACGTGTTGTTACATAATATGTTAGTGTTTGACCGAGATTCTCCTCCGATTTGTCGCTCGCGCCTTAATGTTGTGGCACAAAAGGGGTCCCTACAGTTTTAGGTCGACTCTGAACGGCGATTATGATTTATTGGGAAGCTGTTTTTAATTTTCAAGCTTTGCGCACTTCTAACCATTACACCACAGCGGCCTATACACGAGACCTATATTCAGATAAATTTTTTGGATTTTGGTATCGATATTTGTAATATCGAGTCTTTTTATTCCGATATCAATGGGTACCCGATATTTTTAAAGCGATACTTTAAATGAGTACCATATCGATACTATCTGTTCGATATCGTGTCCCTAGTCACTTGTACAACACTGATTTGGCTGAAATATCACTAACTAATTACTAAATTCTATACATATTCAAATATTTCGTTGTTTACTTTCATTATTTTACATATATAAGGTTCTTTGCTTTCACCGCTTTCTGTTTTTGTTTGCACATGCAAATCAGCTGATCGTTTGACACTTTTCATGAACTTACAGGAAAAAAAACTCCGGACTAAATCCTGTAACTTCTGACTAGGAACAGTCGCTCAGTTACTCTCTCAAAACTGTTCCCACTTACAGGTTTTATGTCAATAGGAACTACTTCCTGTGAGTTCTGACTAAATCCTGTAAACCGGACTGCTATTGGAACAGACTAATTTTGTTCTAGTGAGGTACTGGTAATCGATACTTCTATGCAATTTTTACACAACATAGAAGAAGAGGTGGCGGCAATTTATGCGTACTTGACGCAATATTTGCATTTTTTGAATGTATGTACCTACATAAGTGAGTCTCAAATTTTGTACTTTTCATACATACCAAGGCGAATTCGTACAAAGTTGTTACAAAAGCAGCTGATTTCAAGCCGAATTGTGCTGGCTGTCAAAATGATATGCTTGTTGTGGTCTGATTGTCATTGTGGATGTAATTTTTATTTGAATTCACCTCGTATCATACTTGAGGTTACATTACCTCATATGAGGTTATGTACACATGTGAGTAAATTTTTAAATAATTGTTTATGCTGGAAAAAAATCTTTAGATTAATAATCGAAAAAATTTAAATCATATTTAAAAAATAGAAAAAAATAATGATTTAAGCAAGCCTATTTTAAAGGTTACCACCATTTTTTAACCGAAATTTTGTATTAACCAAAGTTCCCGTTTCAACTTTATTTACCGATTACAAGAGTTTTGTTGCCTGTGCAGTATATCGTCACCTGAAATGCAAAAAGACGTAACAACATCGTAAATGAAATGGAAAAAGTCGTGTCTAATATTTTAATTTTTTTCCATAAATTGATGTGGGGGAGTTGTAATTCGATGAAATCCATCATATAAATGAAGAAGTGAATTTTGAATTTTTATGAATAGTTATGACTTTTTGCATTTCAACGATGATGTTTGTTAGTCGTTTTGCTTTTCAGGTGACGATATATAGATCTTTTCTAACATTATTTCATTTGATAATACATTTACTATTTACTGATTTCATATTTCCATAAAATGATACGTAAATACATATTTTCTTTTTTAACTGTGAAATAAAAAAAATTACATATTTCACTCTAATCGCATAGCTAAACAAACTTTTCATTGCCATTTGTTAAACAAATATTTACTAGTCACCACAAGTAAACAAACAAACTATTTTATTTCTCCCCTCTCCTACTATGCAGAGACTGACAAGATGCAAGGCGTGAAGCGTGTGGTGGTATTCTGCATATTGATCGTCATACTGCCCGCTACGCTGATTATCATTCCTCTCTATCTACGCCGCACCGTCTTCGCCGACGTTGTCTACCCTGTCGCCGAGTCGGATATCATTGAGATACGCGACGGCATATCATCGATCTTTTGTCAACAACATTCGCTAAGAATGGGTTCGAACTTCAATGCATTTCAATTGCGCAGCAAGCCCGAAGTCTCCACAAATCGCAAACATATTCGACTAAAGAAATCCATGACGCTTCCCGACGACACGCTCGAGTATTGGGGTTTCTATCTGCTAAAGGGCGCCAAGGTGCATCTCAAATTCTGTTCACGATATGATGGCTCGCGTATTCTGGTAGTAAAGGGCCAACGCAATTTGAATACCTGCGGACTGCTCGATCACAATCAGAATAAACTGGGTGCCAATTTTGCGCTGGGTCACGAGCAAGTGAAGGTTTTCTTCGAGGATATTAAAGAAATGGCAGACACCGTGCCTGCTGAGGAGTTGGCTGCTGAAAAGAAGACAGTCGATAATAATATGGAGGAGGAAAATCATGGTGGCGAGGATTCGAGTGAAGAAGCCGAAGAGGAGGCATTCCAGCGTGCTAAGATCGCGGCGGCCATGGAGGCAGCAGCGGCGCTAGCGATGTCGTCAAAGCTTGAAAGCAATAGTACATCCACGACAACGGCGAAACCCCCCAAAGTACGTGGCAAGAAGTTGAAAAAAGGCTCAGTTAGTTCGTTACGTAACCGAAGACTGCCGTCGAATGCACCTGCTACTGCGACAACGCCCAGGTTGGCAAAGGGCGGGCAATGGCATTCGACGCTTGAATCGAATGAAAGCACCGGTAGACGTCGACGTCGCAGCTCTTACTCCAACACCGCCGCTGCAGCAGACACGGCACACTTGAAGCAACATGACGAAGCGGTAAAGCAGCGGAAACAGGAAGTCTACGATCAGCTGTTCAAGCGGCGACGCACGAAACGCGAGCATGTCTACGATCGCAAATACAGTCATGGCGGCAATGCGGTAAACTTCACGGTCACTGATGAGTCGAACTCGGTCTCCAGCTTCGAAACTGGCCTCTTCAACTGCTACAATGGTGCCATATTGTTGGCCGAAGGTTTTCCACCATCCGCAGAATGCGTTAATGCGCATTTCCTAGAGAATGGTTCACATCGCATGCTCTCCAAGCATGAGATCACCGAAGACGGCTACTACTACTATATATTTTACAGCGACAACGATCTGGTGCGCAATGACATACACGCTATTTTCGATATTTACAAGCCAACATTTCAATACTCCAACCTGAGCGACTTGACGGGCTGCGTGAATGCGACGAATTGCACCTTTCCAATTGGGTTCCTCTCGGATGAGATTGTCGTGGTGGAAGTTCCGACGCGTGATGGAATCGAGCACGAGGAGGACGACATCACATACCTGATTTCAACATGTCATCCGCGCACGGCAGTCTATGCGATATTCCCGATTACGGTGTTGATATTAATACTGAGTTGCTCATTTTTATAGAAGCGACGGGTGGCAGCAAGTGGAAGCTGGAACAAAGAATATTGGAACTTGCGACGCTTAAATATAATTTAGATATTTTTTTAACTATTGTAAAAGATAATTAATAAATAATACTATTGGAGTAATATATATGAAATAAAGGTAAAGTTAAAATTAATTATATGCAAATAGAAACGTATAACAAAGTTATCATTAATATGAGCGCATACAAATAGGCCATAAAAGTGCGTGAACTACGCCGCCGTATCACAAAAACCACGAATAAGTTAATATAAATCTATGCAGTGACATGTATATCGTAAAAAAAATCGTATAGTAATAAGTAAAAGTGTAAATGTATTTTTCGAACATTTTTAACGGTGCGAGTAGTTTATGAAAAGTGTGCATTGTATTTTTTAACTAATTTTATATTGTACAATTAAGTAATTACGTATGTATGTACGCGTGTTGGAAAGAACGATGATAATAAATCTATTAGTGATACGGCGATTCGTTTTTTAAGTGTGGAAATAAAAAAGAAAAAACTTAATTTTTGTTTTAATGCTCTTGGAAGTATCAGTAATAAAGCAAATATTTTTTTATTTACATATGTATGTATCTATGTAAATACACACAAATTTACATAAGTGCATACCCTGTGGGGAAAATCTCTAGTTCTGAACTGGTGCGCTTCTAGTACATTTAGACCCAGTACTGGTTCGCGATAAATCTCTTTTGCATGCAAGCAACTGGCGAAATTAACATGGCGATGTCCTAGCAAGTGTCAATTGCCCCCCGCTGCATCCCTTCTTCGATAGTTCCGAACTAGTCCTAAATTCCATAGTTCCGAACCAGTTCTAATATCGACAGCCGAAAGAAAAAATAATCATGATTTTTCGATCTTTTTGGTTCTTCCGTGTGTGCGATTTTAAGTTATTTTGGAAGAAATCTGTTTTCAATTTGAAATTAAATTTGTTTGAATGATTGTAAGAAATGTACGTTTACATACCTTTAGCTGTTTGCAGAGGTACTCGCTGTTATTTCTTAGATTCCAGACGGCCCCAAGATGTTGAAATGTTAACAAAAATTTTAGTTTTGTATTACCAAGCTATGAAAAAGCATCTGCGAAGCACAGAATAGAAGCGTATTTGAACGAAAAAGCCGCCGAACACATATCTATGTAAAGTAAACAAGCCCCCCACTGTATCCCTTATTCGATAGTTCCGAAATAGTTCTAAATTCTACAAATAGGATATAGTTCGTTCTGCATCCCGTTTTCTATAGTTCCGAACCATTTCTTAATTCGTCACTTTAGATATAGACTTCTAGTGAAAAAAACTGAAAAAAATTTGTTTTTAAAACTACCACTTTTCGCCGATTTTAGCTGGTGGGGATCTAGTTCCTATCGGGCTAGTTCATTTTTGGCGATAAAGACCTAGTACGAAACTAGAAATTTGATTCACTAGTCCGCTGTTTCCCTGCAGGGTATGTATGAGAATGAACGCTGGTAATTTTGCCAGTCAGCCAAGCATTACAGCTTTTTGTCACTATTCTTTTTTACCAGTCATAAAGATTTTTTAATTCGCTTTCTAACTGCTATTGCCGATTTTCAGTGGCCTAATTAACAACGATTCTTTCGACAAAAAGTTGCTCGATTTATGCTTAAATTTACAATAACCGCGCACAATAGCTTTGAAAATATTTTAACAGCACTTGATTGCTGGTAAATATGTATGTATGCTTTTATAAATGTTACAGCCGCTGTTTTGTGGACAATTGTGGCTTTAGCGTAATCCAGTGGATTCTTTGGATCACTGACTCGGTATCTCATTTATTATCGTTCCTAGTTTCCTGTTCAAAACACGCGCATTTTAGACGCTGAATAAAAGAAAAACAATGAAAAGTGTTGGCGGGCCAAAATGTAAGCTGAGTATATATTTACAAGTGTATATATGTATGTATGTAAGTACTATTGTAGTAAAATCGCAAGTCCGTTAACGACTTTTTAACCATGCCGTTATATGGGATGTGGGCGTGGTTATTGTCCGATTTTTAAAATTTTCGGCCGTTTAGTATGCTGTATCAAGACCAACAACTGTGCCAAGTTTGGAAGAAATTGGTGAAGCGGTTACCAAGATATACACATGTAACCATAAGTTGGCGTGGCTACGCCCATTTTCCAAAAATTTATAATATTCTTATTTGTCGTCTGAAAGTTATTGCAAATGTCAATTTTGAGTGAATTATCTTCAGTAGTTACTGAAATATCGCAGTTTTCGTATTTCTGGAAATTACCGTTATATGGGAAATGGGCGTGGTTACAGTCCGATTTCGCCCATTTTCAATACCAACCTACCTTGGATTAACGGAAACCTACATACCAAATTTCGTTGAGATATCTCAATTTTTGCTCGAGTTATCGTGTACACGGACGGACGGACAGACGGACAGACGGACGGACAGACAGACATGGCTTAATCGATTTCTCTATTCATTCTGAGCATTTATGTATACATTTGTCTATATCTATCTCGATTCGTTTTGGCTGTTACAAACAACCATTATGTGAACAAAATTAATATACCCTTGTGCACAAGTGCGCTCGGGTATAAAAATCTGACAATGCGAATAACGTCAAAATGAAAGAAATGCAAAATAGCGAAATGTCAAAACAGAAGAAATAGATGGCAGGCACGTGTTTAACGGTTTCGTGCAACAAAAAGAGTTGTTGTGTTGCGCCATTCAATATTTAAAAAATTTTAATGTGGTTAAATACGCTTTTTTATTAAGTTGAAAAAACTACATATTTCGCCAGCCAAAAAGTGCATAAATAAATATATAGCATCTTGCTATAAGATTTATTTATAAAAACGGTATATGCTTATGGCCTTATTCATAAAAAATAAAATAGATTTAAAGAGCTCTATACAGTAACATTAAAAAAAATAGATTTCTTTACTTTTTAGGAATTTTGGTATAACATTTAACTTAACTTTTTGTGCACCCATCTCTTTATCTGTTTATTATTCTCAAATTTTTCTTTTCCTTAATACTCATTTGACTGAGTTTTAATTACACCTGGTAAAAATCATGATATAAACATTAGAAAGTAAAACCATTCACTCAATTCGTCGGCCATGATTTTTTTCTGACGTTTGCAAACATTTTAAAATCATATAAAATTGAAAATCAAAAAATGAAATTGTTTACAATCGTTGTTGTTTGAGATTAAAAATGAGAATGTGTGTGTAAGCTTGAGTTCGAATTTTAAAATTATATTGCTGGCAAACGTCAGACTGTCTCTCAATTATTTTACCTTGTAATGTTTTTATCATGGTAAAAATCTAAATATTTTATAAGAAATTTGTTGACCGTTTTACAACGGCATTTAAAGCTTTTTTTTCAAATTGAAAATATTTCTAATATTTTTATTGAGCTTTGTACCACGATTGTTTATTAGGAAAAAT